TCTGTCCACCTTCAAGCCTCCGGACAGACGCTCTTCTACTGCACCAGTAACGTGGTAGAGTATAGAGGTAGACACACTCAGGGAAGGCAGTAGGCGATGTATTAAGGAAGGAATCTGCCCACCTTCAAGTCTCCGGACAGACGCTCTTCTACTGCACCAGTAACGTGGTAGAGAATAGAGGTAGACACTTACTGGGAAGGCAGCAAGGCGATGTATTAAGGAAGGAATCTGTCCACCTTCAAGTCTCCGGACAGACGCTCTTCAACTGCACCAGTAACGTGGTAGAGAATAGAGGTAGACACTTACTGGGAAGGCAGCAAGACGATGTATTAAGGAAGGAATCTGTCCACCTTCAAGTCTCCGGACAGACGCTCTTCAACTGCATCAGTAACGTGGTAGAGAATAGAGGTAGACACTCACTGGGAAGGCAGCAAGACGATGTATTAAGGAAGGAATCTGTCCACCTTCAAGTCTCCGGACAGACGCTCTTCAACTGCACCAGTAACGTGGTAGAGAATAGAGGTAGACACTCACTGGGAAGGCAGCAAGACGATGTATTAAGGAAGGAATCTGTCCACCTTCATGTCTCCGGACAGACGCTCTTCAACTGCACCAGTAACGTGGTAGAGAATACAGGCAGACACAATCAGGGAAGGCAGTTAGACGATGTATTAAGGAAGAAATCTGTCCACCTTCAAGTCTCCGAACAGATGCTCTACCATTGCACCAGTAACGTGGTAGAGTATACAGGTAGACACACTCAGGGAAGGCAGCAAGACGATATATTAAGGACGAAATCTGTCCACCTTCAAGCCTCCGGACAGACGCTCTTCTACTGCACCAGTAACGTGGTAGAGTATACAGGTAGATACACTCAGGGAAGGCAGCAAGACGATGTATTAAGGAAGAAATCTGTCCACCTTCAAGTCTCCGGACAGACGCTCTTCTAATGCACCAGTAACGTGGTAGAGAATAGAGGTAGACACTCACTGGGAAGGCAGCAAGACGATGTATTAAGGAAGGAATCTGTCCACCTTCATGTCTCCGGACAGACGCTCTTCTACTGCACCAGTAACGTGGTAGAGTATACAGGTAGACACACTCAGGGAAGGCAGCAAGACGATGTATTAAGGAAGAAATCTGTCCACCTTCAAGTCTCCGGACAGATGCTCTACCATTGCACCAGTAACGTGGTAGAGTATACAGGTAGACACACTCAGGGAAGGCAGCAAGACGATATATTAAGGAAGAAATCTGTCCACCTTCAAGCCTCCGGGCAGACGCCCTTCTACTGCACCAGTAATGTGGTAGAGTATACAGGTAGATACACTCAGGGAAGGCAGCAAGACGATGTATTAAGGAAGGAATCTGTCCACCTTCAAGTCTCCGGACAGACGCTCTTCTAATGCACCAGTAACGTGGTAGAGAATAGAGGTAGACACTCACTGGGAAGGCAGCAAGACGATGTATTAAGGAAGGAATCTGTCCACCTTCATGTCTCCGGACAGACGCTCTTCTACTGCACCAGTAACGTGGTAGAGTATACAGGTAGACACACTCAGGGAAGGCAGCAAGACGATGTATTAAGGAAGGAATCTGTCCACCTTCAAGTCTCCGGACAGATGCTCTACCATTTCACCAGTAACGTGGTAGAGTATACAGGTAGACACACTCAGGGAAGGCAGCAAGACGATGTATAAAGGAAGAAATCTGTCCACCTTCAAGTCTCCGGACAGACGCTCTTCTACTGCACCAGTAACGTGGTAGAGTATACAGGTAGACACACTCTGGGAAGGCAGGAAGACGATGTATTAAGGAAGGAATCTGTCCACCTTCAAGTCTCCGAACAGATGCTCTACCATTTCACCAGTAACGTGGTAGAGTATACAGGTAGATACACTCAGGGAAGGCAGCAAGACGATGTATTAAGGAAGGAATCTGTCCACCTTCAAGTCTCCGGACAGACGCTCTTCTACTGCACCAGTAACGTGGTAGAGTATACAGGTAGATACACTCAGGGAAGGCAGCAAGGCGATGTATTAAGGAAGGAATCTGTCCACCTTCAAGTCTCCGGACAGACGCTCTTCTATTGCACCAGTAACGTGGTAGAGTATACAGGTAGATACACTCAGGGAAGGCAGCAAGACGATGTATTAAGGAAGAAATCTGTCCACCTTCAAGTCTCCGGACAGACGCTCTTCTACTGCACCAGTAACGTGGTAGAGTATAGAGGTAGACACACTCAGGGAAGGCAGCAAGACGATGTATTAAGGAAGGAATCTGTCAGGACAGAGGGCCGACAAGTACTTGTGTCTACAGCAGTAACAGCGGGGAATACACACACGTGGTGCTGATTATACACACGAGGTTGTTAAGTAGCGTCTCCCGTGTACCTGACTCTGGGTAATGTTCCTCACTAAACTACGGTCGTGCTGAGTTGTGTATGCAGCAATGTTAGATTCATGCGCGCCTAGACAAGGTCTTGCAGTTATTGATGTCAAAATTAGGTAAATTCTCTCTGATTCCACAGGACGTTGCTGAACATATTTTCGATACTAAAGTACTTTCTATTCTCACTTACGGCCCCGAAGTTTGGGGATTTCACTCCACGCCTGATATTGAAGGTATTCATGACAGATGTTGTAGATCAATGTTATCGTTAAGTAGAGGTACTCCAATGTCGCAACTCGTGACATTCTAGGTAGTCCAATGTTAATGTTTTTCACTATGTCAAAATTAATCAAATTTTGGTTAAGGATACTGTCGCAAACCGACAATGTGATTTTGAAGCACTCAATTTTCAATATCGAAGAGCTGAAAAGTCTTGTTGGGTGAGTGAGTGAGTGAGTGAGTATGGTTATACGCCGCTTTTAGCAATATTCCAGCAACATCACGGCGGGGGACACCAGAAATGGGCTTCACACATTGTACCCATGTGGGTCTTGTTGGGCTTTAACCATTAAATCATTATCGTTCAGTTATGGTTTTGGTCAAGTTTGTCTACAACAAAGTATAGTAGTAATGTGCTTGATCCTATGTAGCAATGTGACAATGTGCTTGATGCTCTGTAGAAATGTGCTTGAAGCTCTGTAGTAATGTGCTTGATCATATGTAGCAATGTGCTTGATCATATGTAGCAATGTGCTTAAATCTATGTAGTAATGTGATTGATCCGATGTAGCAATGTGCTTGATGCTCTGTAGCATGTGCTTGATCCTATGTAGCAATGTGCTTGATGCTATGTAGCAGTGTGCTTGATGCTATGTAGCAGTGTGCTTGATCCTATGTAGCAGTGTGCTTGATCCTATGTAGCAATGTGATTGATCCTATGTAGCAGTGTGCTTGATCCTATGTAGCAGTGTGCTTGATGCTATGTAGCAGTGTGCTTGATGCTCTGTAGCATGTGCTTGATCCTATGTAGCAATGTGCTTGATCCTATGTAGCAGTGTGCTTGATGCTATGTAGCAATGTGATTGATCCTATGTAGCAGTGTGCTTGATCCTATGTAGCAATGTGATTGATCCTATGTAGCAGTGTGCTTAATCCTATGTAACAATGTGTTTGATCCTATGTAGCAGTGTGCTTGATCCTATGTAGCAATGTGATTGATGCTCTGTAGCATGTGCTTGATCCTATGTAGCAATGTGCTTGATCCTATGTAGCAGTGTGCTTGATGCTCTGTAGCAATGTGATTGATCCTATGTAGCAGTGTGCTTTATCCTATGTAGCAATGTGTTTGATCCTATGTAGCAGTGTGCTTGATCCTATGTAGCAGTGTGCTTGAATCTATGTAGCAATGTAAGAGATATATAGGTAAAAAAAACAGAATTTACATGCAGTAATATGATATGTAATATAAGTTTAGCAGTGTAAGATATATGTTACTGTGAGGACACCCGGTGTTTGCGAAAAGGGTAAGTAAGACCTTCCCTACCGGTAGCACATTCACACAATTTACTTTAAAAGGTAAGTATTTACAGACAGACAGACAGACAGACAGCCGCCACACTGCAGTACTCCTGCCAGGCGACGGCCGCCTGTAAACAAAGACACATGTAATATGTAATATTGATGTAACACGTAAGATATGATGTCAGTGTTATATACACTGTTAATGTAACATGTAACATGTACTGTTTGTGTAGAACTGTAGACCGTAGTTACAGTGTACTTGTATAGGTTTCAGAGCGTATGTAGACCAACGCTTAGTTTCTGAATATATATAATTTTAATTGTAACAAATAAACCCATTTAAATTGAAATGGAGCCCCAGAGATTCACCTGAGGAAATCTAGACTTGCTTCATTTAGGGCTGTGGGGAGAATAATGTTGTTGAGGGACTGTGAGACAGACTAGAGCGTATGTGACGGGGTACACTATATCATGAAGGCACCGTTGTAGATTGTGGAAATATGTTCAAGTAAACAGAGATTTCATTACAATGGTATTTAAGACATAATGATAAATAAGCACCCAGTCACTACAAATAAAATCATTTGTCAAAAAAACCCAAATCACTGAACGTTTCAAAGAGTTCATTAGTGTTTTGTGTTTATCGAGCTAAAGGTTTGAGACAATGATGAAATTGACAAAATAACTGTTGGAATTAATACAACTAGTAGGTATATATAGGTCATATTTGGGCAAGTCGGCATGCTCGACGTTTTAGAAAGGTTTCCAGCAATAGCGACATCAAGATCGAGGTTCGAAACCGGTCACGGTGTGCTAACGATTTTAACAACAAAGGTTCTGCCACCGCCCTTGTCAAATATAAAAATATTTCACCATTTAATATAAAATATGGTTGATGATGGTTACGCTTCTGGAATAATCATTAGGAACCAAAATACTTCACTGACATTTCCATAAGAATAATATACACATTTTATAAAATATCCAGACTTCAGACTGATCTGGTTAACACAAATGTACTAAATAACTTATGGTGACAAAAATGTGTTAATATATACAGGCTAAAGAATAAGTTGTACTGTACTCACACAAACTACCAGGATTGTTCCCTTCCTGCTTTCCACGAAGCTGTTATCTGCAAAACAGTGGGAAGCACGATAAGGACGCCGTCAATGCATACACAACTTGTCAAGAACCGAATACCGGAAGACAAGCAACCGATTCTGAAGCTGCGGGCGTATTTGTACGCCCATCTCAGAACCCATTGGCGTTATTCTTGGATGTCTTGAAGGATCGTCATATTACACATTAATAACACCTAGCAATCCCACCTGAATGAATTTCATTGACGTGAAAGCAATTTGATGCCTATTGTCAGAGAGATATATTGTCTTCAAGGGAGGCTTCCGTGTTTTTTTCAATCACACATTATCCTTAGGGTTGAGCACGTTTTTACGATCTGATATCAATATTCTAGCACTATCATGGTGGGGGACACAAGAAATGGGCCTCACGTATGGTACTCATTTAAGGAAATGAATCCCAGCGTTCGACGTGACGATCTAACACTTTAACCACTGGACTACCAGCGAGTACTGACAGTGAATTCACGTCTGTCTCTCAGGTTTCAGACTATAGCGTCATTGTAAAGATAGGAAACTGTAAAAGTACAGATCTTTAATTCAGATAATTATCTGCTGTCGGAAGATTCGCTTCAGCATCAACATTATTTTCAGGTAAGAGAAGACGATGCAAAGTTCATTGATTAAAGTAACACCTTCAACAAACCTAATTTAGATTATAGAAATCGACTGTATGTAGCATGTTCTCCAGATACAAGGCAATCCTCACTCCATTGGGTAAAGCAAAATCTTCTTAATTTGACAGAACTGAAATGTACCATGTTTAAAATAGTCTGTCAGATCCTAGATAATAAATAAAAATTGAATCGAGAATAAGTCTGTGATTTGGCAAGTCTAAATTGACCAGGTCTAAGGAAAGCTTACATTGTTCTACTCGCATTTTATGCTATTTTGTAGATACAGTATGTATATATTTTATTTATATATATATATTTTTATTTAATGAGTTCATTTCTGGGACTAAATGTCAGTGTATATTTAATAAGACTTCTGAAACAATGACTAATAGACTAAACAACGAGACTAACCTCTACTACATACTAGCGAAAGCAATTCGGAAGAGAAAACAAGTCAAGTGTATGACCGTGGTTTAAAATGACCTGTTCATGACTTCACAGTTACAGGTGAGGGCGCTCTTGCCACGGTCAGCACATATCACAACTCGATCGGGTGGTCAGGCTCGCTGACATCGTAGACACATGTCATCGTAACCCAATTGCCTGGATAGATGTCTGGACTAGACAATCCAGTGATCAACAGCATGAGCATCAATCTACACAATAGGGATACGATGACATGTGTCAGCCAAGTCAGCGAGCGTGACCACCCCATCCCGTTAGTCGCCTCTTGCGACAAGCATGGGAGAGAGAGAGAGAGAGAGAGACAGACAGACAGACAGTGATAAAGACGAACACATATCAGAGACTGAGAGAGAGAGATGGACAAACAGGAACAGAGTGAGAGATACAGAGAGAGACAGACAGAAACATGCACAAAGAGAATTGGACAAAGCCAGAAGGAGAGAGAGAAACAGATATACGAACGCTGTCAAACATTCCTAACTATATTTTATATTTGATAAGACCCACCACTTGCTGCAATGAAAGTAGATAATTCTAATGTTTATAACCAAGTGAAGATCGTGATAACAACAATTATCTCAATTGACATTTAGAACAAATGTCATGCCTAATGTCACTCCAGATCGTCCTATACTAAATGACCTTATAAAGAGAGATGCCATATCAGAATGTGAATATTTCATAAAACAATACTGAACAATATTTCATTATATTTTCTACAAACAAAAAACGAAACCTCATAAACACTGACAGTGACTCCACATTCTATCAGTTTAAAAGCTTTTACAATGACATCGTTTGTGTTCAAAAAGAGATCCTAAACAATTAAAAAAAATATTCCCAAACGTTAACGTATTACAGAGCCTCATAAGCGTTGGTTGTCATGAGTTGAAAGATTTTACCTTGACCTCATTCCTGTTCCGTTGAAATAGAATTTTTAAAGAACATTTCGGAACACCTCTCAGATTCGGGATTATTTGTCTCAGTGGTTCTCTAAGCTGAACACACCCGATGTGCACTTGAAAGACAAAAACACAAAAACGAACCTCATCAGGAACTCGCTGTTTTATTATTTCGCTATGGGAGGGGTTTATTCGGGGTCTCTAAAAACTCTCTTCGTGGTTCTGTAGAAAATCTGATTCCGACTGATTTTCTCCATTTTCGAATAGAAAATTAGCAATAACGTCCCAAAACAACACCCACAGTTCTAATACACCCAGCATTGGGCTAGACAAGCTAATATCTGTACCTATGTGGTATTAGTCCAAGAGCACGGGGTGATTTTGTACCGAGAGAGACCAAAAGGTTTGACCATGTTTTCTGATGTAAAACTGCCTCACGAATCCCCCAAATTCAGTCTTGCGAATCAAAGCAGGCAAACTGTAGCGCAAATAAGGTTACGCAACAAAGAGAAAATTACCAGTCTTCCTATATGCCGGGGGGGGGGGGCTGAAGCGATGACTCAGCATTTTTTTTATCTTTTCTAATGTAATTTCCAAACTACAAATGCTCAGTATTTGCCCCAAAGTGGTTTTAACGTGAAGAAGATAAGTAAATGTGTAATGTCACAAAATATAATGTTTAACAGAGAAATGACATATTGTATTTTGCGTAGATTTATGAATGTTTGTCATTCTACAACATTGTAATGAAACGAAAGTGTAAAATGTTAAATATGTAGAAATGTGTAACGAATTTTTAATATATAAAAAAAATGCATATATCACTCAAGGTTAGTGCTTTATCTAAGGAAAACTAAGAGTAAACGTACTTCTAAAAATCACTTAAGGGGAGATAAATATGTTTTCAGAAAGCTTTGTAAATTACCACCTTTTAAACATTTCTTCATGATGCAAAACAGATCATCAGCCATTAAAACACGCATGCACGCACGTGCAGGCACGTGCACACATACTTAGTTAATGAAAAAGTTAATATATATCTTTCTCGACTCCAACCCCAACAGTTAATTATTTATTTACAAAAAAACCTCCATATAGCTGGAATATTGCTGAATGTGGCGCAAAACTAAACTCGCTAAACTAATTATAAAAATGTTCACTAATTGTTACTTTTTTGGTGCAATTTTATAATTAAGATTACGTGTGGAGAGGGGTGTGGGGAGGAAGGTAAGACTATAGTTTTATCACATCAGGGCTTATATTTCCACAGCGAAAATTGTTTTAAGACGTCACGTCGGAGTATGAATTCAGGGTGGTAAATAAAATCCGGACAGATTAAAACCGGTGATGACTTTCCACGCAACCTTCCCATTACAGTTTTATTCTTGGATTTGATATCAACATAAACCGCCAGACGTATTTCGGTTACCAAGCATCAAAGACAACAGCTTCAGAGTTTCGAAATACACGACAATGATTTCGAAAGATCTTGTGTCAATATAATGCCTACAGAATACACTGTTCAAGAATTTGTATTGATATATCTGAAATATTGCATAAATGGCATTTCTAAAATGACATTGTGTATTTCATAGCTTTCGGCCGTGGGAGCCGTGCCAATTAACACTTATCAGAGGGGTACACAAAGTCCGCAGTCTAGACTACCAGTTGTCTGACTTCCATTTTTTGCGGAAGCCGCGGTGGCTGAGCGGTCTAGGCGTCTGACTTTGTGTTCTGGCGATTAGGTGCCTGACTCTGAGGGCGTGGGTTCGAATCCCGGATGGGACTCAACCCCCCAAAAGTACTAGAATCTGTACTTTACTGAGAAAGTGTAATCCCAAATATAACATATGTTACAGGTAATCCTTTGTAAAATTGTGCTTTTTGAATTTCTGTTTGTACGTATTGCGTTTTTCACTGCACGAGGGGTGACGACGTTTTGGACAATATTTCAAAGTCACAACGTGTCAGCTTTATATGAGTGAGCTTAGTTCTCACAGCAGGAAATGGGTACCCGGTGGGATAACCTATATGGGCGCCTCATAGGCATCTTGGGTAATCCGTTGTAATTATGTCCAGCATGTTGTATGCGCTAGAGCATGTCCTAACAGGGTGGAGTTCAGCGCTATAAAGGTGTCCTTATTGTTCTCATTACTGTGCTTTTAGCAATATTCCAGCAATATCACGGCGGGTGACAAAAGAAATAGGCTTCACACATTGTACCCATACATGTGGGAAATCGAACCAGGGTCTTGACGAGCCTTAACCACTAGTCTAGCCCAAAATGATGACAGGTCTCCGATCAAAGCTTGGTAAGTCCGACAATACGAGTATGATGCTTTCAGAAACATAATCAGGACGAAACCGGTATCGAACCTACGATCGTCGATTCCTGGTACGCCAAAGGGAAGCAACTCTGCAAAATCCCGGAGCCTTCAACGACAAGGACACCCTAGACGTCTGCACGGGTGGGACATCCTAATGATGCCAGACGTGATATACAGAACGCTTCAGAAGTACCATTTTCCCCAAACATTATCAAAACCAGGTTTACAGATATCTTGTAGCAGTCACGTGACACAGGAATTCCGGGACAGACATATTTATGCAAGACTGTTCTAATAATGTTAATTAAACACGCGTGTTACGAGCATGCTCTCAAGACGGAACCGCATCCAGCACACATCAACATGATTAATACATTCACACAGATGCGACTCAAATGTAGTCAGAAGATACATACATGTATTTCTTTCATAGTACTGTAAGGGCGGAGTGGGTAGGCTAGTGGTTAAAGTGGCTAGTCACGCCGAACACCCGGGTTTGATTCCTAATATGGAAGCAGTATGTGAAGCCAATGTCTGGTGTTTTCATTCGTGATAGCGCTGACATTGCTCTGAAGCGGCGTAAAACCTAACTCACTGACATTTGTCACTGAAGGTGCACCGAGGGAGTGCCAAAACGAACCCACGGCCACATGGCTACAGTGAAGGAATGAGTTTAGCCTTG